TATTATATGGACCATAACGCTCAGCCCTACCAGTACTTTCTGTGCCTATGTGTTGTGATATTTGCATCACACTTAGCCCTGCTATTTGTCTTGTAGGTACTGATTGAGAAAGACTGGATCTCTTTCGGTCACAAGTTTGCAGACAGGTGAGGTCTCGGCAGGATCAGCCAGTAGATTTAGTTATTACATTGTTCTTACTGGTTAGTTAGCACATGTGGTGTTGTTGGGTTGCGTATCTACAGGTGTGACCAGCTGGATGGCGATCCAAAGGAGGTGTCGCCGATTTTCACCCAGTTTCTGGAAGCAGTTTGGCAATTGACCGAACAGTTCCCACAGGTGTGTGTTATGGATCTGTTTACATTGATTCATAATGTGTCCTCGTCATACTATGTAGGGGGCTTAGTTTATTTGTTCACTGAAATTACAATAACATCCGTCATAGGCGTTCGAGTTTAGCGAGTGGTTCCTGCTGCAAATCCACGAACACGTGCACTCCTGCCAGTACGGAAACTTTCTTGGAAACAACCAGAGACAAAGGGAGGAGCTGCAGTGAGTCTAAGCCACAAACAAACATCACTACATTTAATTAATTACATTCTGTTTTGTTTGCAGTCTATAAAAGTCAGTCAGTCAGGATGTGGAGAACTAACAATTGTTGTCTCTGTTTTATTGTAATAATAACAATATTGTTTGACTAAAGTGTTTTTCTGATTGTGTTTTTTTTTTCACCCAAGGCTCAGAGAGCGGACACACTCCCTATGGGCATTTCTGATGGGCGAAAAACAGAATTATTTGAATCCATTCTACAGCCCCGCATACAGTGAATCAAACCCGGTCTTAGAGCCTTCAACTCTGCCGTACCATTTCAAGTCAGTGCAGCTTTTTTCTTGTGAATACTTTTATATTTTTCTCATGCTTTCCTTCTGCAAAGATATTAACCTTTGTATTACTTAGGTTTTGGCGGAACATGTATCACCAGTTTGACCGCTCCATGCACCCACGTCAGTCTATCCTTAAAACCATTCTTACTCTGAGAGAAAACACCCGCAAAGCAGAGAGTACTCTGCAGGCACTGGAGAGCGTAAGTACATGACAAACGCATTGCATTCACCTGATTTTACTTTACACGAACACAGACTCTGGGGGTTCCATAAAACGTATTGTACAATAACACCAAGGAAAGGGGTGGATGTTTTTGTCATTGTGAGTGAAAGGTCAAAATGGATCCATGTGCACACAACAACATAGAGGAGTCATTAATCACTCCTAAAAAAAGACTCATAAACTTGAACGAAAAGCTGACCTTGCATTGCATTGCTGCAGGGTTTAACATGACATAATCTTTGTCAATACGTCTTTTTACTTGTATATGTGGTGGATTACCATTTGGCATGAGCACATCTTGCATAATTTGGGCGGTACAGGTTGCGTCCTCCTCAAGTGTTTGTCATGTTTAAAAAAAAGAAAAAAACTGTTTTAGTCCAATATCATAAACCTAAATAACAAGAAAAATAATTATGTAATACATGTTCATATCATCATAAAATGTTTTTCTTTTAATTTAATTTATTTAAAACATTAAATTGAAATGGCTTAATCCATTATTTTAAGATTATCAATTTAAATGGTTGTTTGTGGCCACATATTTCGAAATTCCCATCCAGAAGCTGCAACAGCTGGGTGAAACCCCGGTGGTCAATTCAGAGATAACCGCACCTCCCCCCACCAGAGATCAGCACTCAAACTCACTCCCACCACGTCCCAGCTCCCTCATCCTGGGGGCTCCCATTAACCAGAAAGAAGTGCAGAGGCAGGTGGAGGAAGAGGAGGAGGACGAGCAGGAGGAGGTGGGCGAGGAAGCTTTGGAGAGCTCCGATACCAACACAGAGCGGACAGTAGAGGGCAGCAGTGGCACTGAGAGCAGGAAGCAAAGCTATGGAGAGCTGGATGGGACATTCAACAGTGACCTGGCCAAAGAAGAGCCAGCTGTGGTCAGTCTAGAGTTTGGAGTGGCCCGCATGACCTGCTGAGACCTGACAGCACAGCTGTCTGACACCGAGGGACTGATGTGGCTCAGAACGAAGACAAAATGAAAGTGTGCGCATGTCCTGGTTCCCTGGTGTCCTGAATGGAATCATAAGATGAATATACAGTGAATCTGAATGGACTGAATTAATGAAGTTAAGTCTCTTTAGACTAAATCTCTATGGAATCCTCATTATAATGTCACATATTGCACTTATAGGAAAAGGCCTGTTTGTTTTTTAATGTTTAAAAGAACTGTAGAAAGGAACTGGAAGGAAAAGGAGAATAAATTAATCCTAAAAATAAGACACTTGTGTTATTTTATTTTTACATTTTAAAGCTACATCTAGGTCCATTAACCCTGTGTGATATACGCTAGATGGTTTAAGGTAAGTAACATTACATTATAAATTTATTCAATTAACCCCATGTGATTTCAAACTGTCACATGGTGACGGTCCGCCATGACAGTAATGCCTCATTTCTGATCATGATGAATAGTCACATTCAAAACAAACTAAGCCTAAGGTTGTAGCTCTGCTTGTAAATTGAACGCATTATTTCCTGAAATGTTCCTTTATAGGAAAATATTTTACTAAGGTCAAAAATATTAAAGTATGACATTAAATAAAATATACGTTAGGTTTTACTGAACTATAAATTTCCTCTTTGTGAATCAACAAAACAAAAACCCACTCAACAATTGCATTAGAGTGTGTTGCACAACATAAAAGTGGAGAAGCCAATTCTGGATGTTGAAATAGTTCTGCAGAAACACATTCACATAAAGTATTATTGTTATAGAGAACAATAAAATGGCTTTAGACATTGGCCTAAATATGTTGTCATATAAATTTACTGCTGTGCGGTTGTGTCCCATGAATAGGTTCACACACTATTTCTTAGCCAGCTGTGTTTTTTGTTGGGTGTCAGATTGCAAATGTTGCTGTTGCTGTTTTCGCAACAAAGGACAGAATAAAGTTGTGTTCCTTGAGTTTTCTTTGAATACATTTTCTTGCTAAAGATAAGTCTTGACTTTGGTCTTGCTCCCTCATGTGCAACCAAAACAGTTTACAGCTGTGACTAAACATTCTTCACATTCCGGTCCCTACAGATATGATTCCATCATGGAATCTCTGCAGATGTGTCAGCTGTGCATCCATGATGCAAATCTGCTGCTCTTTTGCGATCTTTTGTTCTGGGGTCTGCAGACTGTAGTGGCCATTAAAGTACAGTGATGTTAGATTTACCAATACAGGGGTCCTTAGTTTACGACATCCTCGACCGACTGCATTTTGTGATTGTCACCATAACCTATACATTCATTGAAAAAGGCTTGTTCCTGCAATTAATTATTATTTGTTCAAGCTACAAATATTTTTTATTGCTGTGTAATAAAAAAAATTAATTTAAAAAATGTAATATAAACTTTTACTTTTTTAGGTTAAGAAACTGTGCTGCATGGATTTTTAACCCCCCGCGGGCCATACAAAACGGCTGATGGTGGTGGGCCGCATTTGGCCCCCGGGCCTTGAGTTTGACACTTGTCCTAGATTGTGATGTTACCTCAGTGAGTGACATAGTTACTTATGTTCAGTACGTGAGTTCCGACTTACCAATACAGTCTTAATATTTGAACGGGCCGCAGGTCGCTTTGTACTGGAGAAACATTCTGCCCCTGTTTAAGTCAATGTTGTTTTAAAATAAGCCCAGAAATGAGTACTTACGAAGTGCTTATGTAAAGTTTCTGCGGGTGAACTTAAGGAACTACCAATTTAAATGCACTACATAAACACACATAGGTTTAAGTCAAACAGACTTACCATGTTTACTCTGCAGACCGATCATTTCATTATAAATGTCAGGTGCCAACATGTTTTCTGAAGATCACCGTCCATCTGTTTTTGAACTCTGCATCTGAATACCTTTTATTTCTGGAAACTTTATATTGTTGTTGTTCAGATACAGTTTTATTCTTTGGAACCTTGCGATGTGAATTTCATGCTGTGTAAATTCCAGCAATTGTTCTGGATTATAGAGCTGCCCTATAGTAGTTCAGACTCAATACGGTGTTTGGGCTGCAAAAATGGTTGTCTGTTAACACAGCTTAGCGACACTCAGTACCACTCCCTGCCTTTGAATAGTAGTGCAAAAGGGTGGAGAAGGTAATCCTCCAGACTTCAGCCAGTCTATGTACCAACACACACACAAAGGCTTAGTTTAATCTGCACCCACAAGATTCCTAATACAATCACATTGCTGTGCAGCATTTGAAGTTACATTAAACAAAACTAAACCACTACAGATGCTGGCAGTAGGAATAAGGAGACAAAACATGGCGATATGATTATTTGTTTTTTTTTATTTGACTATCAAATGTGTTATGTGCTTGAGGTCACTGCAGTCCACGTGAGATCTACTGATGGATCATTGCTGCTACTGAATATTTTCATGAAAGCAAATGCTTTGCTAAGGCAAGAAAACAGTGGGTATAAAAAGACACGTAGGTGACCAGGAGCTATTGTGAAGTTCCTTAAAGCTCAAGTAAGGGATGTCTTTTGCCTTGTGACCCATCTATCTAAACGACAAATGTCGTTCTGTAAAAAGATCAACCACACCCTCAACCAGAACTGTCTGTCTTTATCACTGTTTACTCAGGGTTGGGCACCAAACCTGTCATATTCATTGTAGACATTAGTCATTTTGAAGTGACTATGGCCTCCTCTATTTAACCTATTACGGCTTCTCTTTACACAGGCAGTCTGATTTACAGCTTTTAAAGTTTGCAACGTGAGGCTCTTGACAAACAGAAGGTTATGAGTTTAAAAGCACATGTTCATGCTCTCGCAGAGGCAGCGTGCTGAGAGGGAGAGCGACAGAGAAGGATGTGTCATTTAATTGTCCCACTTAGTGTCAAGCTTCCCTCAAGGGGGCTGAAACGGGAACCCAATATAGGCAAGAAGGGTGAGTGGGGGATGGGGTACTTCATTTGTTGCCTTTGTGCATTCTGTCTTGCCTTTCACTGTAGAATAAGACAGAAATTATTTATTAGGGTTCTAGAGAAAGCACACACGTGTTCTGCACGAAGCTGAGTAAAGACACAAAACTGACAACAAAGAGGAAATTTCACAGTTAAATATGTCACAACTAAAGTTCAAGGTCAAAGATTTTGATGATGTCATATCTTTTCATTTGTCTCTTCATCCTTTCCGCAGTGTTGTCTAACTGTTGTTTTTATTATTACAATGCTGAGGGAGCCGGAGGATATGGATGCATGTTCTTTTGGAGAGTTCTTTTGTTTCACGATGTGATAACTCAGACCCATGCATCAGTCCATCTGCCATCTGCTGCTCAGTGTCAGCTCCACATTTATCCAACTGCCAGCTGACCTGCTGTCAGAGCTGTGGTGCTTTCTGCTCCAGTATCTGATGTCGTGCTATATGATGTACCTGAAAAGCCCACATTGGGTGACTGGTTGTCTGGATGGGCATGAGTGCTGTACTCTGGGGAAACCCTTCCAGTGTGTTCGTATGGGTGTGAGTGTGTCTGTGGATCTGTGGGTGTATGTGTGCCTTGGGCAGATGAATGCAGACATTGTTTGATAGCAGTGGGCTGGAAGACAAGTCTGTGCCCACAGTCTCTGAGAAGAAGGAGGAGGAGGAAAGAAGAGAGAGAAAAGTAAAAATGGGAAAGTGGAAGGGGAGAAGAGGTAGTTGTGGGTTGGGGTATCAAGGAGATATATGGGGGTTGGGATGGTAGAATTGGCAGTAAAAAGAGCATCCACAGCAGTGGTCTCAAACTCAGATGAGTTGAGGGCCACTGTCTCCACTGTCATTTCATTGTAGAACCACATCAGCCTTTGTTCAATAAAAAGAACAAGAAATGAGTTTGATGAATTCAGGATAAAAGAACAGTGCTAACCAAATGGATGGCTACAACATAACAACAACATAATGAACAACAAACAAGGACAATTAAAAATACATTTTGAAAAAAGTACCTCAGGGGCAAAATTAAAATTATAAGTGACATGTGGTCATGGGCTGGATGTGAGGGCAAGGGCTTCGTGGCCCACAAATGGCCCCAAGCCAGGCGTTTAAGACCCCTGATCTAAAGGAAACACGTTCAACAAGAACAAAGTGGAACTTAAGATAATCATAGTCACAGTAGTTTATTCAAAATGAATGGATTAAATAGGAAAGATCGAAATGCTGGTTTAATCATAATTTAACCTAAGCTGAGCTGTTCAATCACACACCCAAACATATTGACACACACTGAAGGATGACGGTTAAATGTGATGTCATAGCTCTTAGACACCTGGCCTTGTGTTTCTATGCAAATAGAGTAGGCTCAAGGCCATATGGCTTATATGAGTTGCACATGAGCGTCCGTGCAGTGACAAACATCCCCCCCACCCCCACACACACACACACAAATATCGAATTCACAAAATTACCACAGTGATCTTCATAATTTGCTATTCAACTTCGTGTGACCATGACCTAGCCATAAGGCACCTGTAAACATATTGAACACAAATTATGTTTGCCATGTTTACACCCTCCATTCTGTATGTCTTTTTCAGTTGACTAAATGCAGTGACACGTACTGTACAAACACAAAGTGTGATGGATTTAGGGATTTGTGTCCTGAAAAATGAATGAACATTTTAAAAGGAACGAGCAAACTGTGCTTTGGTGTCAAGGATGGAGGAGCAATAGGAGGGTGGGGGAGGGAGTGGAGGAAAGACACTGGCGTACTGCCAATGTTGACGAAAGCTGCTTAGCCCACCCTGTTGCCATGGATACAGTGAGCAGCAGCACCCTGCCTGTGTGTGTTAAAGAGAGAGAGAGAGGCGGAGAGGCAGAGGGAGAGAGAGGAACAGGGAGGAATATAGGAATAGGGAGGAGGCAGAGGGAAAACCAGAGCACTTGCATTAGAGTAAGTCAGAGTGGGAGTGAAAGAGCAGCAGACAGCAGGCTGGAGAGAGGGTGTGAGTGTATGTGTTGCCAGCAAGACGGAGGAGACAGGCAACCAGAGCGATACAAGGAAAGGATAGAGTGGGAGTGTTGGAGCGTGATATAATGGAGGTGCAGTCTGAATGTGTGGAGCCTCCTGTAGCTTCTCAGTGTGACCCCCAGCCAACAGGGAAGATCAACAAAGCTGCCTTCAAACTCTTCGGAAAGAGACGCAACGGCTCTGGAGTGGCTAGCTTCTTCTCTTTCAGAAACAAAGGGGCCACAAATAACAATGGAAATTCTGACAATAGGAATTCTTTGAATGGTAATGCTTCAGCAGCAGCAGTGGACATCATCAGGAGCAGAACCCATGATGGACTTGCAATCTCCAACAACGACACTGATGACCAACGAGGAGAAGGACTCGCCCACCAGGAACCAGGACCGGTGAGGTCTCTCAGCAAATCACTGAGTTTCTTTTCTCTACTCCGACGAGGGAGTTTTAGATCGAGTGAAAATGGGGGGTCAGGGTTTTCCAGAAGAGGGAGGAGCCTAAAGGGCTTTTTCAGCAGCATGCGATGGAGACGCAAAACAATTGAAGGCAATGGGGAAGAAGTTGAAGGTAACAAGGAAAAAGATGAGGACAGTACCAGTTCGCAAATGGCTAAGGATATCACCCTAACCCTTGAACCACCCCCACTTCATCACCAAGAGGATTGTAAGAACGGAGAAGTAGAAGCTGACCTCCAAGAGACAGAGACTCCTATTGCTAGCATTAACATAACACCCCCACACTGTGTTGCCATGACAGGTCCATCTGTTGAGCCAGACTTCTCCCATCCTTACTCTCCAACTGACTCTCCACTCCACGTGACTGTTCAAAAAGCCAAAGCCTCTGCTTCAAGTCTTACCCCCTCCCTCGCAACACCTCCTTTAGATCGATGCAGCACGGGCGACGCACCTTCGGAACCATCAGTGGACAGACTCTGCTCTCTTCTCTTCACTGACGTCACATCTCTCAAAAGCTTTGATTCACTAACGGGCTGTGGCGACATTATTGCAGATGCAGATGATGATGGTCCGGGGGGTAACGGTGGCAGTGGCACAAGCAGCAGTAGCAGTGGGGGAGGAGGAGTATCTGGGGGAGCAGGTGTTGGTAGAGCTTTTTCTACATCACGTGGATCCCCGTCCAAACCCCCTTTGCCACCCCAGCTCACCCAACACATGTTTTCTGTTGCTTCAACCTCAGCCCCGGCCTCCCTCCCAGCACGTACCAGAGCACCACCTCCACCTCAGCAGCACCCACCTGGCAGTGGCGTGGTGGCTTATATGGGTGGAGGGGAGGAAATGGCTAGTCCAGAGGGAGTGGATGATGCAGACATGCAAGGACTTTGGCACATGCTGCCTTCCACGGAGGATAACTCTCCAGCCTTACCCAGATCACATCAGGCCCCCTCCACGACCCCCACAACTACTTATAGCCCTCACACCAACCTTTCAGGCAGCCACCTTCCTCAAGCCCCCAGAAGTTCTGACAGAAAGATACCCCAGGTCAAGGGGTTGGGGCTCAGTAAAATACCAGTGGTTGGTGGAGCAAATCGAGGTTCCAAGCCCACCCTCCCTCACACACATAGTCGTCATCCAACATCTCCTGGGGACAAGGAGCTTCTCAGTGATGAGGGCTACTGGGACACGCCCTCGGCAACACCCACAGCCACACCTGATGAAAGTGGGCTGCAACGTAACCAGAGGAGAGCTCTCTCACGTGACAGCTGCTCTGGAGACCAGCTGTACGACCTCTACAATGATCCGGACGATCAGGAAGATAATGAAGAGAAGGATGGTGAAGAAGACCTCAACAGCACCCCATCTCCATCTACCGAATACAAACTCAGTAGCCCCACCTCTCAGACAACTATTCCTTCCTCCTCTTCCTCTTCCTCTTTCCAAATGCTAAAAGGCAGCACCAACCTTCCACGGGAATCCAAGATCCCAGTAAGCAGCAGACAAATGTCACCTACGTCCTCAGTCAGCCAGTCTGCTCTGTCATCAGTTCTTGAAGCGGAACCGCTATCACCAAAGACCGAGGCTCCTCCACCAGCTCGCACCAGAATCCCTGTGTCAAAGGTGCCTGTCCGTCGTTCTGGAAACAAACCCAGCAGCAGAGGAAGTGCCCGCAAAAAGTAGTTTGCACCAGACTGGTTTTTCTCTCCAAACCTGTGGGATATTCCTACAGTACAGTTTTTGTAGGGCCACAAGGTTTTTCTCCACCCAGAAAGAGCTGTGGACATAGCGGCCCGTAAATTCCTTACAGATCTTGAAAGCACTCACTCCACGAGTGTTCTAGCTTATGGCAAATAAAGAAAAAGTTTTTTTTTCTTCACATGAGAAAGTCACATGTGCCCTCCAAAAATGCTGGGTTAACATTTCATGGCTTCATAAAGTAACTTTGGATGTTGACTCTTGACAATCCAAGAATTTGCTACAGACACATTGCCTGTGACCTCTCTGGAAAACTGCTGACCTGCTGACACTTTCTGATTCAGCTCCTGGCTGCAAAAGCAGAAATAAAGGACCTTTGTTTATGGGACTCTGTATGGTATAATTTTCTCCTGTGCACCTAGTTGGATCAAAGTCTTTTTTTCATTCAACTTTGCTGATTTGCTTAATCTGTAACAGATTACCTCCTAATAATCCGATTTTTATAGCCAAAGTTCTGAAATTATCCCTTTTCCAAAAAGGTTTTTTCAAAATAGTTTTGAAGAATCCAGGAAAAATTTCACATGACAACCACACCACCCTGGGGAACACTGTTTTTTTTTTTGTTTGTTTGTTTTTTTTTTTGTCTTTTTTAAAAGTCAATCCTTTTTGACTACAAAATGAACTAAAATATGTGAATAAATGAACACAACCACGGAACAGGATCTATTTTGCAACTCCAAAAATCAGACGAGCTTCAGTGCAGAAGGTCACGTTAGGTTTTTGAAGAAAGACCTTCACTTTGTTTCTGGAAGGACTTCAACAAGATGCTAATCTCTGGGATTTACAGCTGTTTGGTTACACTATCGCAATACTTCACAAGGACAACGACAGCACCCACACATAAATACACTCACTTGTTCACACACACACACACACTCTCTATATCACACAAAAAATATCTCTTTCTTTGCATGGAGTGCTACACATGGGGCACGAAAGTCAGGAAAATCATCACACACTGACCTATCATGAACATATACACATTGTCTTTAGCCTCTGGCTCTGTCTTTGTAGCTACACTGGATAACTCTCTTCTCATTTGTCATGTTCACAAAGAGATGATCTTTTTTAGCTGACATTTCTTCACTGGATTTCATATTTCATTTGTTTTTTTATAAACAGTCATACTGCACAGATCCTAAACTGTGATTGCACCAGCTTTTTAATACACTGCTGACACCTACTCCCTTCTCTGTCTGTAGTACCTGTTGTAAAACCACAGTGTGGGAACTGCCATGGCTGTGTAAGAATCTGAATGTAGCCGATGTCGTTGTAGGTTGGCATACAGTATATTTCCTCATGTCAGTTTTGTTTGCTTCTTTGTCCCCCTTCTTTCGTTGGGGGTCAAGACAAACGGTGGAATTCACTGTTTACCAAGCTGCCCACGCTCCGAAAAACAGACACACTAGTCTGCAGTGTTCGCAGCCTTGCGAAGCCCACTTGTAATACGAATGACCAGTGTGTGATGCAGTCATGAAAGGCCTTTGTCAGTGATCCACTGAGGCAAGTTACAGAGGGCAAAGTGCCTCCCCCTCTACCCTCTTATCTTTTAGTACAAGAGAGATTTTCATAGACAACTGGAGATCATATTAGTTTTCTCTAATCCAAAACCACAAGGGTTCCAGTGACTCTGCGGGTCATTCTGCAGCGTGAAAGCTTTCTGTTTCATTTACAGCACGGTGATTGATCCAAAACACTGCACCAGGTTCAAATATCTTTGTAGGCTCTGAAGGAAAGAGTAAACTGACCCCACGTCTGCAGTGAGACTATTTCTTGTCAAATATAAAGGACGGAGACAATGGTCAACAGGGTAAAAGGAAAATGATAACGACTGTTATTTTTGGGTTGGGTTTTTTTTAAATTTGCCGTACTATCAGTTTCACTGTTCTTGCCCAAAATGAGCGGGGGCGGGGGGGAAGAATGTGCCATAGAGTAAGATGATAAGAGACTTTTTCATCTTAGATGAAAATGTTGTCATGAAAAGTTGACCCACCCAAGAGACTGCTGAGATACATTAGGGAACATCAGAATTATAATATGAAATTTTATTTTAAATAATGAGTTTTTTTTTAAGTTAATGCTGATTAAAATGCCACCAAGTTTGGGATATTTTGGACGTTTTTGTTTCTAAGGAATGACATTTAAATGTCATTCCAATTTAAATGTGACTTATCCAGTACTGTGATCAACAAGTTGTGACCAACAAGACTGAGTGACTGCACCTTTGGCTTCCTTTTCTTGTTTTTCTTTTCTTTTTCACCTGGTCAATAATTATCTACTGGCTGACCGATTATAAACCTGGATCTGTGTGTGACCATTGCTTGGAAAATACGTTGTTTTTCTATTCTTTGAATCACTTATTTTACAGTGTAACAACCTTCCATTTTTCATATTTGATGAATAAAACAGTTTTTGCGCTGAGATTTTAACCCTTGACTCTTCCTGTTTACACTTACATGAGATTCCATTTTTTTTAAACTTGGGGGATTCATGAGATTCATAATTTTTTAAAAAGGAAAAATAGGATTAGAGGCTTGTCCTCCTAATTCTCTTCCTACATTCTTTTACCCCCACCTCTTCATGCTGTTTATCCCAGTGGGGTTTGAGATGAAACAGATGTTTTTGTTCATGTGCTGCATTGTGTTTGTTTATTTGGTGTTTTTTTCTTTGTTCTTTGTTAAGTCACACTTACAGAGTTCTGCTTTGCTTGGCCGTAGAAGCTGATCAATACTCTTTATTGATTGTTAAATGCCTGATGGATGTGTCTTTGTCTGCTGTTGGACTCCAGTTGGGAAATACATGTAGAGACCTGCACAGGCAGCAGTTGTTATACCAAAGAACCAGCTGTCACATAGCTGAAACATTTGCAAATGCAAAAAATATGGTCACTATCTCCAGAAATGTTGGGCCTGCAGAACACACTGAATGTGAATACATCTCCTGAAGGCTGGGGTTCCTGGGAGAACACATGTTGCTAAAAAAAGATAAAATGCTCTGCTGTGGGTGTGCAATAGGTGGAGAAGGAGAATTTGGTGCAGTGCGAATCCCCTTTGTAATAGTGCAGCAGAACTCCCCTCCCTCCTCGTCTTTCTCCAGCTTCCTCTCTGTTTCTGCATGCTAAGGTCTGTGTAACACCCTTACGTAAGACCATAACACTCCTCTCCCAGCTGCCAAGATCAATGCTGAAGTGATGCTGTAAGCGAGGATGGTGCATGCTGGAGCACGCATGTGTTCGTGGCCAATGTCATCTGTAATCTGCTGCTGCATGTGGACACTCGTTCTCATTGTGTGTTTGTGTGTGTGTGTGACGAAAGGGAGTGCATGACAGGGAGGATTTAGTTTGTATGGAACACAGTAACTGTTTGTATTAAGCAGAAAAGAACAAGGAAAGATGTTGAAGGCCAAGTGCAAAGAGGGAGCAACATGATTTAATGGGATGTGAATGAGTGTTTGTTTGGCTTAGCTGCTCTTTACTGGAGCTTTTATTTGACCTTAGCAACCGTCAGACAATAGAGTAGCTCAGGAATATATGAGTCACTCAGTCAGCTAAGAATCTATTAAGGTTGATATCAGCCAGGACGCCAAAACTTAAGATGGATTGAATTAATGTTACCATACAACACTGCTTTAAAACATGGGAGTGAGGTATGCATTCAAGACTTTTGACATAAATGATTGACCATTTAAACATAAATGTCACATGGACTGCTTTAATAATACAGTAGATGTTTTTCTGTTTTGATAATGTCCAACAATAATAACAACATTAATAATAAGCATAATACGAATACCTCATAATTGTTATTATTTTGGGAGTCAAACAAATTACATTCTATACAAAAATTAAAATGTTGCAGATTTAAGCCACTACTGCGCATCTTGACAGTGACTTGTAGAACTCGTCGGAGTAGCATTAAAGTTATCTTTAAAAAAAACAAAACACCAATGAATATCACTTTCTTTCACAAAAAATAACCTAGCTGTGTGTGTTTGTGCGTGCGGGTGTGTGTCTAAGTGAGAGTGTGTGAATGACATCGGCAAAAGAGAAGTCTGTACCCCACGATCTACATGGCAGCCTCTCTACAGTTGTTCCCATAGTAACTCTACTAGGTCAACCAATGAAAATAGAGGGAGCAGCAGTGAGCAGGAAGAGGATGGGGGAGAGCTGGGTCTCTACCTTGACACAGCAGAGCTGAACTGATTAATAAGAACATCGTTTTCGTTTAAAAAAAACAAACACGAATACTGCTCTTTTGTACTGTGTCACAGAAGATACAAAATAAACAGCATGGTGGAAGTATTTTTTTCAGGTTATTGTGTATTTGATTGTAATGTGCAATTCGACCAGCAGATGTTGCCCAAAATTCACAAACAGCGTTCGACAGAGAACGATAGAATCAATAAATACATATATGTGCATGGGTATCAAATTAGCACAGCGCTATGACCTTTAAACTCATGGTGTCAATAATTAATAAAATGCTGTCGTATTACCTCTGTGAATGATGTACGATGTAGAGCCATGATAAAATAAAGGTAACACAAGCCTACAGTAGGTCATAGCTTCAAATCCTGCTTGACAAGTGCTACAAGCTGCCTGACCAAAACTTATTGTTTTCCTGCTCATCAAAGCAGTCACAGGCCTAGAAAGACTGTGTACAATAAAGAGACCACATTATACATATAAAGTGAAAATTTCGGAGTTCCCTGCTACCAAGGTTCATCTGACATGGACTGTAAGACACTTGTACACATTTGCTTGTTGTTTACACAGTTTGTGTTTTTTGAGGAAACACATCAGGATTGTACCTGTTAAAGGTCTTAAAGACTAGAAACAAAGGTGACAGGTAGTAATCTGCATCCGTGACGATCAAGCATCAGGAGCCGAGATGAGAGATATCTGTGTAAATCAGACTGATTTGACTCAGAATTAGCATTATTTTGTATTATTTAGTTTGACTGCCTGCAGTCCATGACTGTCTCCTGCTCAAAATGTCTGAGAAGAAGACAATCAGAACCAGAACCACTGACTGTAGGTGTGTCAGCCTTTTGTACAGCTGCAAAGGGTTTACTGTTCTGGCAAAACAACAACACTAAAAGCCCCCACTTACTAAAGAATTCAAAGGCAGAAATTAAATCAAAGCCTGTTTAACGCTGCAGTGAACTGCCCTCTGTTGTTTTGTATAATTTTCCACGTTGCAAATTTCATTTCTCTAATTTCGCTTTTGCGGTCCCTCGGTGAAAATGACTCTCTTGTCCTTTTGCCAGACTTTGGCCCAAGTTAATTAACAAAGCACATATTTTAGTAATTTAGATTTTTATTTCTACTAGTCGGTTTATCTGTAATATGATACATATTTATATTTATATTAATACTTTAATTCTTCAATTATCACAATTACTTTTCCCACGAGGCTAATTTGATTTTTTTTCTTCTTCAATCAAATATGCAGTGACACCTGTGTAATCAAGCACTGCAACAGTTACAGACTATTGATTTAGACTGTGTTTGTACAGTTAGTCAACACAAGTAACAGGAAAGGCCATTCTCTCTCTCTCTCTCTCTCACACACACACACACACACACACACACACACACCTCCCTCTCCAGTCTCTTCCCCACAAAAAATAAACAACACAGGGTTCTGTTAGTGGCGCTTTGGCCCAGAGGCAATGTCTCTGTCATTGGTGTAGAACCCCAGGGTTCACCTCCTGGGCAAGATCAAATCCCAGTTAGGCGGTTGGTACCTTCCAGTGGACTCACCACCCGCAGGAAGGTTCAGGGGGGTTGGTACGGTGCAGTGTGATTTGCGTGGCGGTCAGGGAGACTGCTGCCCCTGCAACCCGGTAACGGATAAGCGGATAAAAATGGATGGATGGATGGGTTCTGTTAATTCAGCTAGAAGACCTAGAAATGTGAGGACAACACGTTTCTCCAGTGCTCTGGGGCTTGAAGAACATTTACTGTATGTAATTGTGTATTAATTATGTATTAATGTTAAGACGCATTTATTCTCATGATGGTTTAGTATTACCACCCAGTAATTAACTGGTTATTCATTTCAAAACGCTGAATCAGTCTTTTAAAAAATCCTCTGTGTTTGGTGACTTCTTTATTGTTCTTAAACATGACACTCGTCTTTTCTAATCCAAGACAGTAACATCTGATACCTTCCGTCCCCGCAGAACGTTTAAATGGTTGCAACCCGTCGACTGCCACATATTTACAAATCAACGATGATGAAACTCTCAACAGGTGAACACAGAGCAGGTTCCAAACAGGTTGAAAAACCAGTTAGTCGTTACTGCAAATACTTCGAAACTACTCAGCATTGTCAAAAGTTGCAAAGGTTACACATCATTCAGGCTGCAGCCTAAAGTATCTGTTGACTTTAGCAACAGTGTGTTTAGTGCCAAACTACGGTGGAAACAGTTTTGCAAATCAAAGGCTCTTGGTATTTTTTTTAGTTACTTTTCTTTCTGGGCAATGCAAAACCTCAGAAAGTATGTGTGTTATCTGGTCATCCTGGTTTTCACCTCACAGGTGGGGCCACATACCAGTGGGTATGAAAGAAGGAACACATAGTTAGTTCTGACTTTTGGTTCGGGCTTCACTCGATTCCCACCTTACTCATATTTACCCAAATAAAGTACAATAAGAATCATACTTTAATAATATACACTGGTAGTTTTCAAGTCATGTTTGCTCTTGTGAAAAAAAATGTTGCAATGTGCCACCATCCTTTTGCCTAGTATTCTGATAACACCAGTGTAAAACAAACAACTCATCTCAGTCTTAGTGTTCAAGCACGCTGTGAATAAAAGATCAAAGTTTCATCCACAGATCCAGGAACAGATATACCTCCCACTGGTTTCCCTATCACACACACTAAAGAAAGTTAGTAAACAGCATTGGTCCCAAGTCCATTTCAATTCAGTGGTCCGTGAACATCTACAGTGATCATAGTGTACAGCATAGTCTTTTTAATCTCAGTGACTGTGTATTCGAGGGTATTAAGTCCGTCCTTACCCATCGTCCACAACGTTTGACTTATTTTGTCAGGATTGACAGGATTAGGCTCGTTGTGCAAGTCTCTTTCATGCTTTATCATTTTGTACTTTCCCATCACCAGGTCAGGGCGAGAGACTGACATTCCATTGTATACAACCCGTTTGTAGATGTCATCGTCCTCACCTCCCCAGCCCCAGTAAGTGTTGGGGAAGCCATTGATCTTTATGAACTGCTCTTTGGACAGTGAGGAAACGCCGCCAAAATAGGTTTTGTAAGGCAACCGGTAACCAAATTTGTCCATCGCCACGGACAAATGTCGTGGATTGTCGAAACATTTGTAGAGGTTGTTGTCATCAGTGGGAATCAAGTCGACATCGGAGAAGACAAAGCAGTCATAGTCGTAGTCCTTCAGCGCCTCTACGTATCCGACGTTCAGCAGTTTAGCCCTGTTAAAAATATCTTCTCCCTGCTGGTTGATGACGTACACACCGTAGTCCAGCTGCTGCCGCTTCAATATGGGGTGCATGTAGTACAGCCAGTGCTTCAGGTGTTCTTCTCGATTTCGGAATGGGATGATTATTGCCACCTAAACCAAAACACAGGTTTCACAAAATGAATGTTGCATTCAATAGTTAGTATGTCACACTCAGTCAGTTGACTATCCATGCCTGATTTGTAAAATTGATTTAAACTTGATTTAACTTATGGTATATATTTATAAAGCACAGTAAAGTTATTTTGGAGCATTAATCCTTTAGGGAATCAACGTAAATTGGCTGCTAAAGAACAGCATGCGGTCCGTGAGCCACATGTTTCAGACCTCTGTTCTAAGGTTTGTAAAAAAAAATCTTAAATGCCTCTTGTTTTACTTATTTTTTACGTGGTTACTACCTTTTGTCTTGCGATGCAGTCTGGTGGCTTGAACCTTCCTCCTAAACTAAGAGAATAACTTGTGGTGTCTGTCACTTCATTCCAACTCCGTGGCTTGTTGAACTCCACCAAAAGAGGACCGACCAATCCTGGAGGGAACTCTGGACACAGACCAGACTCATGGTCATTTGTGGCGAACAGCGGTGCCTCTTCTCCTCTGGTCTCCTGCTCTTGACCAGCTTCTTCTCCTGTATTCGTGTCAGCCTCCTGCTGCTCTACCATCTGTTGCGCGCTCTCTGTCGGCAATGTACTGTTTTCATTAAAGTTCCGATAAAAATTGATTGAAAAAGTTGGGAAAGTTTCCTTCCTGACGGCGAACAGTAGCGCGGCATAACAGATCATGCCGACAAGAGCAAGAACGAAGAGGATTTTGAAGAATCTTTTCGGCATCTTGACACCGCTGAAATATCACAGCTGTGTTGTTAGTGTGAGGAGCGGAATTAATGTGGAGTGACTCTGAGTTTTTGTTAGTTAGTCAAACTCGTTTCCTTCTCTTCACACCAGACTGGTTTTGTTTAGCCTCGAGCAGCTTTTTTACACAGGAAGAAGACAGTTGAGGTTGGGCTACACACCTAATTTAAAAAAAAACTAATTTACAATTTAGTTTCACCTTTAAACTGTAGTTATTGAATGAATGGGCGTTGACATAAAAGTACATTAATATAAGTATACCTATCAGAGTGAAATGTTAAAATTAATAATAGAAAAAGAACCAAACATTTTCCTTGTAAAGCATTAAATAAGTCTTAGAAAAATGACTAACTTTTATAGTTTGTGACAATTTAATATTTGTAACTGAAAAAAAAACGCTCCAGCACAAAAAACAACTAACCAAAACCTATAATTTATGCAACGGTGCCCTCTTCTGGCGAATAGTTGAATAGCTTAATAGAGCCAGTATCAAAAAAGTAAGCATGTTCCTATTACTGTAGGTACATGGTTAATGAATTGGGTGTTTTTTTGTTTTGATAAAATTCACTCTCTCTGGGTTGGACAGCCAACCTGTCCACCCGAGGACAGAGACAAACATCCACTTACACTCAAACTCACACCTACCGTCAATTCATAGTGTAGAGATAGCCTACTTGTTTTTATGTTTTACAGAGAAAATGTTGTAATGGTTGCTTAATATAATAACATAATATAAATATAATTAATATTTGAAAACCCTTTTCCAGAAATTTGAATCTCAGTGTTACTTCTTAATATAATAAAAGGTACTTAAACGGTAAAAGTGCCTTTCAGATCATCTGGTTTCTGTAGTTGTCTGTTAATGCTTTCTAGGTAACATTTTCTTTTTGTTGTTGTTTTTTATAGAATCATTGTAGAATATGATAGAGTGCAAGATTTGTTTTAAATGATTTTTTGTTTTTGTTTTGTTAACATGAGTGGAAAGTGTACATCGAAAGATGGATCATTTGTAAAATAAGAAAAGCGACATCACATGAATGCAGAAGAACAATAAGGGTTGCCTTGCCACACCCAAACTTTCTTTTCTTCACTCACTCAAGCGCATGACAGGCTCTTCAAGTTATTCATGACCTTAAAGTAATGAATAGTAGGTCAGTTTGGGTGCTTCAGGTCCTTTTACTACAGTACATACATTATACTCTACGTCACACTTTTAAACTTTGCTATCAGGCCTGATACAGTGTGTCCACCAAGACGTGACGCACTTTCTCTCTGAAGTCTTTTCTGATAGCAACACTAAAAGCTGAACTATTAATGCTCTCCAGAAGAAGAATAAAACTCAAATATATGCATACTTTTCCAGCCACTTTACTTTTACTATCGGCTTGTGGTAGACATTTAAAGAGGTTAGCGAGGAGAAATTTAATTTGAAGATCATTCATCTCATGTAATTGTGAAGTTTAAAAACGGTAAATTACTCGCACTGTTACTGCTGCGTGAGGATTTTGTTGCAAACAGCTGTGCATTCGGGATCAGAATGACTGAACTGTAAAACACACCTAGGGAACACGTGGGGTGAATTCTGGGAAAGACGTCGAACACATGAGACCAAGAGTAAAAACTGCTGCCAAACTGGGAATGGACAACATATGTACGCGTTATTGTTGATGGGTGTGAGACTACAATCCCAAATGTCACCACTAAAGGGCAGTCATGTATCAGCAATGCCTCATAAGACACTGCAGCCACTGCATCTTATTTTTTTGCAAGAAAACAGCTTTGTGTATTTTATCACTTTTGGATAAGTTGGCTCCTTAACCCTCTGTAAATGGAATCCAGCTTTGCTTACATTTTTTATTATATCATTTGTGTCTTAACTTTTCTCCTTTTCTTCTCTTTTGCTGTTTTCGCTGCTCCCACTGTAAGGGTAGAGTTGGACTGACATTCAGAGTAAACTGAATCAGAATCGTAGTAAACCTCTGCTTCAGCCACAGACTGTGGCATCTGTTTGCAGCAGTTTTTTTTATTTGTTTGTGTATTCCGACTGGAAAACCATTTACAACTTGATGTGTACTACTACATATCATTTTATCAAATTTCATGATATTAATATTAAATATTTTTCCGCTTTGGTAAATCAGTGCCTCAATAAAAATGCACGTAGACACTGTGGGCCAATGGGGGACATATTTCCTGTTGTTTAATTTTTAATATTTTTGCTAAAACGATTTCTTATCCTTTTGTTTGATATATGTGTACATATTTATATATGTGTATATATATGTCTGTATATTTGTATATATATAAAAAATATAGAGAGATATATTAGATTTTTTTATTTTTTAGCTTTTTCTTTGTGGACTTTTTCATTTTATTTCTTTACTTTTTAAAACCTTTTTTGATAAGTCTCAATTGTAACATATTTCCTGCCACTTCCTATCAACCATTATATCTGCAACTAATCCTTTTTTATATGTAAAGAAACAGATTTATTTTATATGTTCACGACATACGTACATTGTTTTTTTTGTTTTGTTTATAGCAACAAAAACATTTGTTTTGCACTAATACAATTGTAATATAAATTTTACACTCTAATTTCTACAAATAAGGAGATAATAGTCCCACAGTGTTTTACTTTTTTGGACGCCTTCATGATTCTTCAATAATCTTCATATTTATTTTCCTCAACTCCATCAATTCTTCATTGCTTTTGGAAGTAATATGAAGAGAGGCTGGGGCCGTGGAGGGGCCGAGAGAAGTCTTTGTTTAGAGTATACAAGTACAGTACAGTACACTTCATGTATATGGGAGAAGATTTTCTTCATTTCTACAGATAAACATGGACCCACACACTTCTTTTGCACTCAACCGCATCTTTCTAAACAGCACTTACAGCCCGGAGCACTCTGCAGTTTAGTGAAACATGATGCCCACATCATGTGCTTGTGTGTGCGCTGGGTTTCTGAGTGGTCTCAGCTGTGAGGGACTCACTGCATTGACAGCCAATCAAAGCTAATTCAGAATCATAGTGGTTTCGATGGCTCCGTGGACTATTTGAGAAAACAAAGCAGGTTGTGTGTGTTTGTGAGTGTGTGTGTATAAACCTCTCAACCTCAGCCACTCCACCTGCTTCTCATTGCTCAAATGGTCTGAGAAAATCTGCTTTCAAATATATCAGTTTTTTTTCTATCTTTTCCCCAACATATCATACAATAAAGTAATTTGAAAATAAAAACACAATAATCACTTTAAAAAACCTTGTTTGAGCAAACTGGAGGGTTGTTATGAGACAAAAAATGACCTTTGACCTTGTGAGGAAATTCATTTCTATAACATTGTACTATACATTTACGGTCTGAACAACGACAGACTGGTGGACAACAAAGACGACAGTCTGACAATACACGACAACAGTACAGCAACACGGCATCCAGAGCTGTTTGTTATTTGAAGCAGCCGTTGCTGTTAGACTCTGTCTGTTTCCCTTCTACACCTCACAGCTCTGTGTTTGCTACCAACAGGCTGTGGAGTTCAGTTAGTGGTTGATTGGCTGTGTAACGCTTTGTGCTATCGTGGTCGTGAACAATCTTATGGCCTTATTGTCCCGTTCTGTAAGGTTGGAAGACAGATTATCTTGGCATTTATATTATTTTTAATATAAATGTCAATATAAAATTCACAGAACACAGTGCAGCCGTAGGCTGTGACATTTTCCTTTAGAGTTACAGGACGTGTGACTGAAGGACAAATCTAATTTTGCTGCAGTGCTGCCATAGCCAGACTTTAGAGCAGCCTCGTGACACCTTGGCATGGACTTGTAGACTGTTTCACTTCATCAGTCAAATTTCATTTTAAATTGATTATTAAATACAACAGACATCCAACCCCTACATATGATGATACCCTCTGTATATATATATATATATATTAAATTTTCTTTTTATTTCCAAGAAGTAGACAATAAAAGACAACCAGCAGGTGGCAGTAGTGCTATTCAAAGGGTAAAAATCAAGTATCATACCTTCCAGTGGACTCACCACCCGCAGGAAGGTTTGGTACGGTGCAATGTGATTTGGGCGGCGACTGCTGCCCCCGCGACCCGGTAACGGATAAGCGGATGAAAATGGATGGATGGATGGAAAATCAAATATCACAAAATGTCATTTTAAGATACAAGATACAAAATACACATTTTTATTTTGTCTATTACATCCAGAATGTATTACTTGTTTATCTATGAAATGTTTTAATTATATGTTTTTTTTCACTAATTAGACTCAGGTCTGGTTTAACAACAGTGTTTGCAGCACTCCCTACAGTGAAGAGAGGAGTTCGACTTGAACAGTAGAATAGTGTTATAATATTAGTAAAATATGAAGCTACTATGAAAACTAACTAACTAACTAACTAACTAACTAACTAACTAACTAACTAACTAACTAACTGACTAACAGCTTGTCTTTACAGCTAATGCATCCACTTGCTGCACAGGTCATCAAAGGTTGATCTAAACTGCCTACTAGTGATATTATTTGACAGGGATTCGGTGACAGCACGGTGCATCTCAATCTTTCAGTGTGACAGCAGGAGTTATTGTGTAATCGTGCCATCTATTGGCAACAGAAGGTAAGTCTTGAGTGACAACCATGCTGCAATGATTGCCATTAAATGCTGCTCATTTTCCTGAGTCGTGGTGATTTGACTCATAAAGACCTAAAATTGTTCCTCATAGATGCAGCAAAGCAGTGGCACTGGGAAAATGTTGACTTTTTAAAGCTGGTATCCATGAAATAAATTGTCTCAAAAATAATGAGCAAAGTTTGCAGCTTATGTTCATTGTTAAGGATTTGTTTTTCTCTGAGAATTGAGAAGATATTCAGTCATGACGTTTGTCTGAGTACTTTAAAGTTTACTAGAAGAGTCCTATAGTCCCGAGACCTGCTCGGGACTATAGTACTCTTCCAGGTCTACGTTCGGGTCTAAGTCTGTCCCCGTGTTTGGTCAAGCAAAATGCACCAACCTGTGACCACAAAGTGCCTTCCAGCTGAGTTGGCAACTTCAAGTGTTGGAGAAACATCAGCCTGGAGTCACGGGGCTGAGTTAGAGCTCATCTCTTCATTGCTATTGTTTTTTAAGTGACATGAACCCAACTTTCTCCCAATGGGCCCTGGGGCTCAGTGTGCCAGAAGCAAGCAGCGACCGTAGGAAAACCTCTCAATTAGGAGCAACTGACGTGTGGTTTTCATGCCTAACTATCTGTTCTCCTCTCCCTGAAAGTGCACGTTGAGGCGTGCACTCTCTCACTTGCTGGCTCAGTCGCACATTTGCTCCCTCGTACGCCCACGCACGGGCTGTCTCGCTCACTCACGCATTAGTTCACTCATTTCCCTCTTCATTAACACTTGGGTCCTTTCTATCTCAGGTAGATAGTCGTCCGCGCTCATTTATTTGCCTGTCACCATGTTTAACTGTTCGCCTATTCTGCTCGGCGCCGCTGGAATATCTATTCAGCAACACTGTCATACACTGTGGGTTTGACATAATAGTTGCAGCTGACACTGTGACAAACATGTTGGAGACATTTCCCATAACAGTTTGGATAAAAAGTTTAAATGGAAGATGGAAGTTAAAGGCAGGCCTAGGGTGGCAACAGTTGCCTCCTTATTTAACCAGTCAACTCCTCTCTTTGGTGAGTTTGTTTTCCACAATCACAATAAAATAAATCACCAGTGTGTACATCAGTGCTGTCAACAACCCCAGTGTTTACAGCAGGTGTATGATGACTGTAAAGGCTGTTTATTACTGCCCTTTGGAGCAGTGTCCTGAAGTATGCACGTAAAACCACAGGGTTGTTATATTTGAACACATGCAGATGGTGGGATGTTTCCACTGTTTCCAGTCATTGTTCTTAGACAGGGCGGAGTATGCTGTCAGTAGTTAATGATTACACACACACGAGAGTTTTCCTGTACGTTCACTTTGCCCAGTTTTCAGGAGACTTCCTGGTACACAATGTGACGTCACTGTCCGTAAGTGAAACCAAAAACTGACCGTACAACATAACCAGCATTCGATTTGGGCTGCCCTACAGCAAAAAATAAATAAATAAATAAAAAATGTGGGGGTCTGCACTCAGACTGGACGGTTGTCCCCGAGGACACTGTTTTGTTGAGGAGTAACAAATCCTGACCGGTCCTGATGCAGAATAGTGCATGTATGATTTTTGCAAACAATTGGCTCACTGAGACCTCTAGTCACAAACTAATGGGATGTGGTCAAAAGAGGAGAATGTGTTTTTGAAACGATATATTCATGTTTATATTAGATTATGTGTTTTCCAGTACTAATGTATATTTTCCATCACTGTAAAATTATGATTTACTGTTGTACAACTTTGGACTATTATTTTTAATATTGATATTAAATAAAATATATGTAATTCTAATCATTCTAAAGGATAAAAAACAACTTTCACTTGACCAATTTTTCTTTTTTATTAGAATTATTTATTTTAATATTTAAATAAAGCTATTTGCTGAAGCTATTCACTGAGACCATACCAAAAACGCGCATCACGGTAAACAGACAATATTAACCTTAAAGTGTTTTATTAAGTTTTATTCACACTCAATTTCCTCTGGAAAAGTACTTTTGGTCTTACTCTTGTTCCTTTACCTCGCGTTATAATTTCTAGTGGGAGCTAATCATTGTTTAATTTGAACCTTCACAATAAAAGCGTTTTAATGATCTATTTATTTATTTTTTAATTATTTAAGAAAAATACTTAATACTTAATTAATTAGATGTTTTTTTTAATTGATTCTTCGGTTGTTTTCAACTAGAGATTTATTTATTTATTTTAGCCGAAGGTCACTGAGTGCTTAACGTCATGCAATTAGAC